ATTTGAATGGATAGCTTATGAAAAAACAAGCATTGATATGATAAAGTTTAGATAGATTTTAAACAGAAAGGGTTTTGTGGAGATTGTAGTAATTTTAAGAGTTGAATTTATAAGTTAATTAAAGCTAGACCATCATTGAAAACCTGGAAGCACTGGATGGCTGATTCGTCCTCGTATGAGGCTCCTCAGAAGTGTGCATCTACAATCCTGTTCTTGAGTTTCGAGCCCAGAACAGTGGCTTAATTTCGTGGATTGGTTGAAGTTAGACATTAATACTGTTGGATACCAGCTCGCTGGTCTAGAGGTTAGGCGCTTGCGCGCGAGACCGCAGGGCTTGTGTTCGAGTCTTACGTGCAGGGTCGTGGATTTGGCCTGTTGATAGGACCCATTCTGGGACGAAGCGACCTTGGAGTGCTTCCATGAACTCAAGTAATGAAATTATCAATTCTGTTGATGCCTTCAACAAACTACTCTGCCTGTAAATTAAGAAAGTGTCACAAAAACTGATGGGTATGGAATATCCATATTCTAGAACCTTTAAAGGGATTTAAACCGACTTATAAAGATCGCCTAGTTACGACTAAGTATTAAGGGTTTGAATTAGAGAATTAGGATTTTCATCATGATCTGATATCAGCCACAATGCAATATGCCCTGTAGCCATATTAATCAATAAATTGAACTCGAAAATATAAGAGGAGCTACCTAAGGATTTTGTCAATAAGATTAAGTACCACTAGGTTTAGGTTTGTTTGAAGATTAAGGGTTAAGAATTAAGGACAATTTCGAATTCCTTGGTATATACAATCTATAAAAGTAGAATTAAGTACTTTATATATTTAACACCATTATATTTAATTTAAAGCTGGGAACGATACTTTTTCCCAATCACTTCAAACATCTAAAGCAGTACATTAAAATGCCAATACTTCCTGCAATACATGACATTTGAATTTTGCACTAAAACTACACAGTTAAAATATTGAAATTTCACATTGCTTTTTCTAAACTGGGAGTTTGAAAATCCTCTGCCAGGAAGTCCTACTCATTGCTTTCTCATATCACGGGTGTTGTTTACGGATTTGAGAGGACGAAAATCGAATGTCCGACGCTTTAACGGGGTTAGTAGACATGGAGATTCCAGTTAGGGAGTTGGAAAACCCTGAATCCAAACCAATGGTACACATGGGCTCCAGTATCCTGAGGGAACAAATGGCGTATGAACCAGTCGTTGGTCACCGGCTTCCATGGGACTGCGTCTCCTTACGATGCTCTACTACCTTGTGAATCAGACCTTCAGGTCGAAGGCTCCGGATGTGGCCCCCTAAGAAACCACCTGCTTCGGTTTGGGCACCTGGGCAGAATCACAGCCTTCACATTAAGCTTGATACTTTCAAATTAAATGTTAGAATCTTATGGATTACATTTCTCGCACTATCTGTAAAGATGGTAGAGTGTTAATCACATTGAATACTTTCTGTGTTGAAACATGACCATAATGTTGGCTAGAATTCTTACAAACAATTTATCAAAAATATATAAATAAATTGGGGATTGAACTACTGATAAAGTTGAATCATGTTGAGAATAAGAATGATTTCAACATTGTTACTAAATCCTAATCACAACATATTGTAAGTTAGTTGGAGGTTAATATGTTAACTATATTGTAATCACCGCGTGTAATGAACTTCTCAGTAAAATACCGTTATAGATTATGAGTGACCATTGAGTTAAATTGTTAAAATAACAGTATATTATCGATTGATCTTTAACCATTCCTAATCAGATACCACGTGCGCGAATACTGAAAATAATCAATTCCTTTTAATATATGTACATCCTGTGAGGATAACTTCGATATTGTCCTGATACAGACAATAAATAAAGTCAAACCCTTACAACTGAATTATAATTCAGCCGCGTTGCACAAGTCAGTGTTTATCTGGATTCATTAACTAAATAGATAACTCATTGACATTTGAAACAAAAGGCAATGGATTAGAGTTCCGAAATGAACATCAAGACTGGGATGAAGGTAAATCCAACTGATGAATCCGAAACAATATGAGACGCGCGTCCTAGATCCCATCGCTACCACTATCCATCTCTGTTTACATAAACTTGTGACTGATAGCAATATCGAAGGAACTCTCACAGGATGTACAAATGTTAAAAGTAACAGATCACTCACAGTCCTTAACAACAATAATGGTGAAATTTAAACCCTTAAGTTGCTAACATGAAATTCAATTTAATCACTAGAAATTTACAATGTGCTTTGAATATATGAATCATTTCAAACAGTTAGTTAATTTGACAGATTTATCAGACAAAGTTTAACAAATCTGTGTGGTCTATTAGTCTAATAGATTGCCAATAATCGAATAAGTAATCAACTTGTTAAAACATTTTTATATAAAAAAATAAAAGTAACATTAGATAGATTGGAAGTTAAGAAAATAACTAGATAATATGAGAAACAATATGCATCATGCGATTCTGGATGGTTAAACAGTTCATAGTTACACTAAATCTAATCTGATACTATTGATTTATTGTTCATAGTTGTATGATTCATGTTGTCTAGTTCGACATGTATTTGCAAAGTATAAACATATAGAGAGGATCGTGAAGTTTGTTGAATCTTTATTGCTTATATTATGGACTGATCTTGGTTAGACAACCATTGAGAACGAGAAAGCTTTGAATGTGGATTTTCGGAACTGAACAGTCGCAATCCTGCGTGCTAATAATAACAACGTGTTCACTAGTGACTATTTGTGAGAATTATATCTCACAGCTAGAGTGATAAGTTATGAATCGTAAAGTTCAACCATGTTGGGTGTGAAACAGTTATCCACCGAAGTTAATGCAAGATATTCGTGTAATATCGTGAAATGACTAAAGTTAAACTTGTACCTTATTCAATATCAGCTCAGTTGTCCGATATTTAGGGCAGAGACCCAAATGTCCTTGGTTTGATCACTGGGGGGGAGTCGTGAATGCGCATTGCTGTGAAGTTTCATACTAGGAAGAGATGGCTTTCTGGTTTCCAACGGTTATATAATTAATATCAGTCTGTGATGAAAACTGTGGAGACATATAAATGTCCTAGCAAGTAAATGTGTGTCCGACCGTTCTAAATGTCGTGATAATAGATCACATATTTCTGATAAACTTCAACTCATTGTATTGTCTATATTAATCATATATATGATGTATTATCGTTAGTGGTTAAATTCTGAAACTTTCATTATCATAAGATGTTCAGTACAACAACAAGAGTTCCGTAATTATTCCATTACACTATTCTATACTGATTATTATTGACGAAATCCAACTGTTGAGGCTGTAGAATTGACTATAAAATGATGTACTTACGATTGATGCTATGCCATTAGGAAGAATGAATATCTCAGATATTTATTCTATTATTTTATTAACTTTCAATTACAGGTTCCTACGTGAAGTGAAAATAAAATATTTCTTTTTGCAATGAAACAATGGTTGAGAACTGATCTTACAAATATCACTATCATTTTTGAGTTTGTGCATATAAATAAGGCGACTTGATAACATATATGAGTTTATTTGTACGGTAAACAACAATAATGGCGTATGTAAAAGTCATTTTTTGATTCAGGCATACCCTAAAGTTTACAATGTAAACTCCATATTCACATGCTATTTCTTTATAAAAAAGAACGAGAAAACCATTTAAGAAACCCAGAAAGCCTTGACCAATATTCATACATACAATGTGTTGAAGAAAATAGTTCTCTGTTAGCCCATCAAAATTTTATCAAGATATTTAAAGACGAGTAAAACACATAGAACAATGAGGAAACTGAATAGATTATCTTCTGAATATTCTCAGAAACTGATACAGAATAGACGGAATATGGCTAGCAATCGGATTCAGAAGGCTCGTTTAATCCTGTTTGAGATTCATCAGCTTGTTTTTTAGCACGATACTCGTACCCTTCACGGTTAACTCAAAAGGAACGTGAATTATTCATTTAGTGAATGATTTCAGATAGTCACTCACTTGTGCAACGAGTATTAGTTTCAGTTCATTTTTAGATGATTTGGATTTTCCTTTATTATATATCACATGGGGCCATAATGGCTTTATCAAGACAATTCGCTTATGATACACATATGCCAACCAAGACTGATGAAATTTCAGTCAAAATTATCGACAACGCTATAAGACAGATCATTTCAAATTGAATTGAAACCTCCATAAATGTTTCAAGAAATGTAGTATTAAAGATAGTCACAAAAATGGGACATTTTATAAGTATTATTATTGATAAGCCTAATTTCATATAAAATGTTCACGATCATTTTTAAGGAACAGTCATAGAAAAAATTGCTTACAGCTTAAATACTAACATTTAAATTAATTGAATTTTCTGGACAGACATTTGATGAATAAAAATAACATAATTATAGTATAAACAGTGTTGTATGCTAGTCATATCGACAATAAGTAGTATATAATGCTATTCAAGAATAGAATGTCTGGCAGCAGAAGTTCTAGAAGATCAAAGAGGAAAGAACGAGAACAGAAAGCAATTGATATTTCCCTAATTAAGTGTCTACTGTATGATTCTTAGATTTTACTAAAATATTCTGTCATTTTGTGCTTAAATACATTCAATTAACACCGTTGGATGACAGCTCAATGGTCTAGTTGGTTAAGCGCCTGATGCGAGACTGATAGGTCCTGGGTTCGAATCCCACGAGGCGACGTCGTGGATAAGACGAAACGGCCGTCCAGTGCTCCCACGTTCTCCACGGTTGTCCAGCTTCAATTGACTCATGATCTCAACTGTTGAAATTACTCCAATCTCCATAAAACCCCTTTTGATACATTCAATTATCCGTCACTTATGTTCTCATTTACTACAATATAACAAACTGATTCAATTGACCATAAATCTTTGTGTTTATTTTATTTGTAGAAAAAAGAAAACGAAAACAATTCACGACAATTAACAAGTTAATAAAGAAATTACCAGACATTTGCATTTTACAATGATATCATATACTGTGGAAAATTACATTGCTTTATATATAGATATAGGGAAAGAGAGAGAGGGGGGGAAGAGCGAGGGAGAGATCCTTATAAATATATGCATACATTGAAATAAGGCGTGGAAAAGCTTAAAAAAAATACATGTATATATGTGTAAAATTGTGTAAACAGGGCAAAACAGACACATTTACAGTGTTTTTTTTCTTCTTTCTCTTCTTCTTCTTCTTCTTATTCTTCAAAAGTTTACATATAAATTGAAATTCAACTAGTAGTTGGAGAGATAATATTAGTTTATAATCAATCATAAACTCTTAACATATGAACTATAGGGCATCACTTCATAGGATACTTTTGATTATCTCTATACAGAAAATATGGTATATGGAATGTTTTAATTATAATTATTAGATAACCAATATAAATAACTCAAAGGATAACCTTTTTTCATCATCATTCAATCATTCATATTGACAATATCTAATATAAATATTATGAATGAACATAAAGCCAATTCATGAAAATGTTCATAAGGAACATAATGAAATGAATGCGATTATTTTTGTTGTTAAGTTGTTTGTTTATTGTTGTTCTTGTTGTTGTGCTTTTTTTCGATCAATTTTTGTTGTAGGAATAGATACTTTCTGTTATGTGTTCTTTTTTTTCCTTTTCTTATTCTTCTTGTTGTTGTTCTTTTTCTTGCTTTTTTTTTCTTTTTTTTTCCATTACCATGACTACTATATTGATCATGTTTAATAATCAACTAATCATTATCTTGATAATGAACGTAAATTATATCGTCCAAATAAAATTTTTCTAAATGCATTACGAAAATCTGGTGAAAATATTGTATATATAATTGGATTTAATAATGAATTTGAATAACCTAACCATAATATCATACTTTGACCAAATTTTGTTATTTTTAAATGATTTATAAATGGTGATATTAATGCAACAATAAAAAATGGTAACCAACATAATAAAAAACAACCAGTTATAATAGCTAATGTTAATATTGCTTTACGTTCACGTTTAGCTTCTAAACGTTCACGATTTAATTGAGTTTGTTGTATTGGTATTAAATTTGATATGATTGTTGTTTCATCATTTAATGTTAATGATGTAGTGATTGTTGTTGTTGTTGGCGGTGGTGGTGGTGGTGGTATATGTAATGGTATATTTAATTCATTATTATTTTTATTTATGGTTAATATATCTGTATTATTATTATTACTAGATGGTAAATTGGATGTAGATTGAGTTATTATATGTTTATTATTACTATTATTATTATTGTTATTATTACTATTGTTATGTGAAGGGAACATATGACGTAATTTCTTTCGTACATTCAATTGATTCTTTGATGATTTCAATGAGATATGATTATCAGTTCTTATATATTTATTATTATTATTATTGTTAATTGTAGTAGTAGTATGAGTGGGGCTAACAGTATTCCGTTTATAATATGAATGTGTACAGTTAGAAGTCTCATTTATTGACTCTAAATACAATCCTTCTTCATTATTATTATTATTATTATTATTATTACTCGACGTAATGTGATGTAATGTGTAATGTTTATGTTTATTTACACAACAATATGATAAATATTTATTCGTTTGATATGATTGAACATGTTGATTTGAAGATGGTGAAGTAGTAGAACAACATGGTGAAAAAATTCTCCGTATATTGAAATAATGATTTTGATCTTTCATTGATTTTTTAAATTTATTTCGTTTATGTTTTATATTAGATTCATGAAGATGTTTATGAGAATGATGATTATCTTGATGTCTATGATGATGATGATGTTGATGATGAAGAGTTTGTTGTCGATAATGATCATCTATAGGAAAAGATGATGATTCTGAAAATGAAGATGATGGTGTTAATGGTAATGATGATGAAGATGATGACCATATCATTGAATTTGTATGCTCTGTAGATGATTCAATTAATTGTGTATTAGAATTAGTTAATTCAGTGAAAAATGTACTAGAATGATTTAAATGTAAAAGAATTGATGGAGCTGAATTCCTATATTTAGATAATAAAGTATGTTTATATGAATTATAATTGATTATAGAATTAAGATTATTAAAAGAATTAGATTTTTTAATGTGTTTATAATTGAATTTCATTTCATGTTTATGTAAACAATGTTCCTTGTAAATATTCAATGTGTATTCATCATTATTGTTGTTAGGGCTTTGTTTATCACAATGATGTAATATGATTTGTCTAGTATAACTAGGATTCTTATTAATATTATTATTATTAGATTGATAATAATTGGATTTAGTTTCCATATCATCAACATATGGTATAGATACTTGAACATTATTAAAAGTATTATTATTATTACTATTATTATTAGTAGTAGTATTTTGATTATTTATCATTGTTATTGTTGATGTCTCTGTATGTGTAATTGTTTTTCTTCCAATCATTGTACAATCTGTATCTGCTACTTGTGATGATGATGGATTCTCTTGATTTGTATTAGTATTAGTATTTCTAGTAGGAATTAATTTAACAGAGTTTCTATTTTTGTAATTATGACGACAATTACACCAATATGTGTTTAAATGATGTCTGAATGAATGCTGATGTTGTGGTTGTTTAGATTTTGGCTGTTTCCATTGACTCATACATAGATTAGTTGTTCCTGATTGTTTAAATGCTGAACGTCTAATACGTGCTCTAGCTACTTGATAAATTCTTGCATATATACCTATAATAAATATCATTGGCATATAGAATGCACCAATATTTGAAAATACTGTATAACCATGTTCTTGATTAATTCGACAACTTGGTGGTTCATTTAAATCTAAATTAGATGAATAACCACCATAATTATATGATCTTGTAGTATGAAATCTTGCTGGAATTGAAATTAATACAGATAAAAACCAAAATATTCCAATCATAATTCCTATTCGACGACCTGTTCTTCGACGAATATATTCTGCATTTGTAACAGCCCAATAACGATCTAATGCTATACCGACTAAATGAAGTATTGATGCTGTACAACATAATACATCGGAACATACCCAGAAATCACATAATGCTTCACCTAAAATTATTGAAAATAAAATTTTTGATAAAAAATGAATTAAATAAGACCCTATTTTATTATAAATTAAATATTATAAAAGCTTTTAACATTGAACTGTTTTTCCATTATAATGAACTTATTGTCTAAACATATTGAATATGGGACAATTAACACCAACAGGATTGTTTAATGGTCCTATTTACTCAAGTTAAGAATATAAATCATCTTACACCAGTCAAGTAGTCTGAATCGTTTGTCGTTCTCCAGTAAAACCATAGTTCAGTACGACTGAGTGTCATACTTGTGTAAAACAGTTATCCAATCCTAACTTGTTTTCAACAGTCTATAATGTTCAAACTCAAATCTAACATTTACTAAAACCCCTGCAGCTGATGAATAAAAACTGAACTTCAGATTTCTTATAAAATCGTCGAACTAAAGTTCAATGTCAGTTTTGATGTCGAATGATATATTTCTCTGAACTTTATAAATAGTTAGTGACTATTGGTTTTAATGTTCTTTAAGATGTTAACCAGGCTTTTTAAATTTACTAATCGAATTCACGAATCAATCTAAGCTCAACCACCATTGAAAACCTGTAAGCACTGGAAGGTCGTTTCATCCTATCATGAGACTTCTTGACAGTTCGCATCCACGATCTGTCACACGGGGCTCGAACCCAGGATATTCTGTCTTGCATGCAAACATTCAAAGTCTGGACCACTGAACCAGCATCTGAAGGTGTTAATGTCTTAATTCAGCCGATCCATAATCTTACGTAAACCTTCATCCTTTGACTGAAGTGGATAACTGTTACACAACCGATATGCTTTGGATTCCAATGACCACGGCTTCTCACTAAAACTCTGAGAAATCCATCTTGAAACTAGTCACTAAACAAATTAGACACTAGCAAAATCTAAGTAAATAACAAATATTTTTAATAGTTGAGATTATGAGTCAATTGAAGCTAGACCATCATAGAAAACCGGGAAGCACTCCAAGGCCATTTCGTTCTATTGTGGGACTCCTCAGCACTGCGCATCCACGATCACGCCTCGCGAGATTCGAACACAGGACTTATTGGTCTTGTGTAAGAACGCTTAACCTATAGACCATTGAGCCGGTAAATGTGTCGTTCAATTTCTTGGATTAGTTAGAAATTAACACCGTTATATGCCGTTCAGCTCAGTATTCTAGTAGTTAAACGTTCTCGCGCAAGTGATAAGTCTTGTCGATTGAACGCTATATTCTCTCCCTAAGCTATTCTGGTAACCATCAAGCTAGAAATACACAGCGACCTGAATACCAGAGAGAAGACGCAAAGTATGAGAGAAAATACTTTACTCCAAAGTTCGTTCTTGTACAGAAAATCATGGGTATTTATAGATGTTAGCGTTTGTTAAATCAACATTATATTTCGGCCAATCCGTTAACGACATATTATGCTGCTGACCGATAGTAACACGCCACGTTGGAATTCTAGAATGCTCCATGATGCTCTGATTGGCTGGGACTCTTCGGCTCCTTTTGGGCCTCTGAAGGCTCCGTTGAAGTTCTCCGAAAGCCAACTCAACAGCAAGATTGATCGATCTTGGATTCTAATCTCGCGAGACGGAATTATGGATGCGCACTATTGAGGAGTCTCACAATAGAACGAAACGGTTTCGGAGTGCTTCCAGGTTTTCCATGGTGATCTAGGTTCAATTGACTTGTGAATCGAACTATAAAAATTTACTAAATTCTGCACGAAAAACCCTTATTCTAATACTAATAAATATTTATTAGTCACATGAAAACAGAAATTTGAAAAGAAAAAAAAGAAAAGAAAAAAGAAAAAGAAGGTTATTCTTATTTTATAATTGAAATTTAACTAAGCAACCATATTTAGTTATTTTCTGACAGTTTAATCACTATGCATTATAATCAAATTGTAGAGTTTAATAATTTTGAACTTTTGAACAATAAACAAACAAATAAAAGAGCGAAATTAAAAAAATTTTTTTGGTAAAATTATATAATTAAATCTGTCTTTTCAAGTTGTATAGTTGATAATCAAATTGAATACCAATGTATTATATATACATATATATACATTCAGTATATGAACAAAAGTGTATTGAGGATATGTATATACTTATTCTTTAATGGTATAGTATTTGTCAAAAATGTCTTAAATGAACTTAAATATATATATTTTTCATTTTATGGTTAAAACTAATCAACTTGAATCTTATTTATTATTTTGTAAGAAGACATGTTTAAGCAAAGATGGATAATGGCTAGCATTGGAATCCAGGACGTGTGTTTTGTCCTATTTAGAATTCGTCAGCTGGATATACCTGCATTCCAGAGTTGATATTTACTCCGGGACTTGAACTCACTAGTTTACGCTTCAAACGCTATCGCGTTATCCACTTAGCTACTGAGTCTTGATAGCTGCCTGCTTGTGCAATTGGGTGAAGTTTTAAACTACTTGGTGTTGTTTTACTGATCGGTTGCAGTCCTAAATAACAATGGGAAGATACAAATAAAACAACACCAAGTGAGTTTAAGACATGTTTAGTTCATATAATATAAGATAAAATAATGCAGATGATAATATTTCCCTTGAATACTAAAAAATTTTTTATTACCATGGAGTTGTTTGAGATCATGAACCGATTGATGTTAGACTACAATTGAAAACCTGAAAGTGTTGAACGGTTGTTTTGTTCTATTATGGGGTTTTTCAGCAGTACGTATCTACAATTTCGATGGTGAGATTCAAATTCACAACCTTCAGCTGCAAAATGTAATCACTTAACTTCTAGATTAACGCGTTGGCTAAGTGGCCTATAGGTTAAGCGTTCACACGCGAGACCGAAGGTTCTGCGTTTGAATCCCACGAGTGAGATCGTGGATGTTCACTGCTGAAGAGTCCCATAATAAAACGAAACGGACGTTCAGTGGTTCTAGGTTTTCAGTGATGGTCGAAAATCAATTGATTTACGATATCAACCAAGAAAAAATTTTGTTATCTATATAAGGTGTTATTGGAATTCACTTTATATTACCTTGAAAGAAGCGTTATATTTAAAACTCGGTAAAATATTAGAAAGATAAACATAGTTACAATGCCATACAGTATACATTACTTATCGTGTAATAAAAGGTTTATATTACATTACAGTAATACATTCACAAAATGAGTATTTTACAAACAGTCAATATGTTATACATATAGATTTTCTGTTATTCTCAAATATATCATTAAGATCTTAAGAATTGAAGTTATTTCATATAAGTTAAGTCAAACCCTACAGTGGTTTGTTCCATTTCACGGAGTTATGACAAACAAGATTGCTAGGTTTGAAGCTATCACGAGTTCACTTAATCGGTGAACGAGAACAAGACTCGGTGACCAAAGACCAGTAAGCTAGCTATTGATGCGTCCCAGCCCCGCTAACTAGAGAGAGAAGTCCAAGTTTGGAATGGGAAGTATATTCTGAAAAACAACCAGAAACGAGCGGTCACAACAATCACAATTCAAAACGTATATATACAGTGCAAAACCATCCTTGAGGAGAATTACCAAATAAAATACTACAAGACTCAACGGACCAATAGTATTTAAGATGTTTCCCAGTGGGAAATACGACATAAAGATGACAAGAGTGCCTTTGGCGCGAAAACAAAGAAATTCAAATTTTCTAAATAAAATTACAAAATTAGGTCCTTTCCCAAGTGAGTTCTATGGATCTAACGTCTCCAACAAACATATATTATCTTGTTCATAACACATGTGTACTACAAACTAATCTGGAAAGATTCATCATTAGGTATAAATATATATACCTCAGTTGTTAGATAATTCATTTACAATTCAATCTAAAGGATAAGGATAGGAATAAAAATTATTAAACCAAATTAAATTGTTTGTTTACATGTTGAATATTGAAAATTTTAATCAAAATCTTCATCTGATAAACTTGATAATGATTTGCATAAATTAGTTGAATGTAAACATTCATTGTAAATTGATTGATTGTAAAGCATTGAATACTATAGTATTTAATGCCAGATGGGTTTTGTGGATATTATGGTAATTTCAATGGTTAAGATCATGAGTCAGTGGATGTGTCGCTCAATTTCGTGGATTAGTTGAAGTTAGACATTAACACCGTTGGATGCCGGCCAGCTCAGTGGTCTAGTGGTTAGGTGCTCGCGCGCGAAACCAGCAGGTCCTGGGTTCGAATCCCGCGAGGCGGGGTCGTGGATGCGCACTGCTGAGGAGTCTCACAATAGGAAGAAACGGCCTTCTACTGCTTCCGGTTTTCCATGGTAGTCTAGCTTCAGTTGACCCATGATCTCAACTGTTGAAAAATGATCGTATATAAAACTTATAGAGTTCACTGAATTCAAAACTTATTTGTGTTTTAATTTTTATGTTTGTTGTTTGGGTTTTCCATTGATGTTTAGGACTTTGATTAATTTGTCTCTTTTGACAAATGTACATCCTATACGGATCACATCGATATTGAGGAATAAAGTCACACATGTTGATGGTTAGCCACCATCTAACTCGGTTTATAATACTTACAGATAACTGTTTGAACTCAATAACTCAGTGAATAACATAATGACATATAAAGCGAATGGTAGTGGGTTCATGTCACATAATGAGCATTAACAGTGAGATGCAGTTACATCCATCTAACTACTCACATTGAAGACGAAGCGCACATTCTGGATTTCACCACTAGCCATCACCCAACTCTGCCTCTAATTATTTTTTGTTATACAAATCAATCCAATTAATGACACTAAGATCACTATATATAAAAAGTTTCTACATATAGAACACAATCACGATATTGTTAGACGTTCACATACAATCATCCTTGAACCTTAACTTTATATGAATACTAACATTTTATCATTTGAGAATACATTATATCTATCTTAGCAGATATACTGGTTATTTTAAACTTTGAAACATCATCCATAATACCAACCTTATCAGTCAGATCCTTGAA